GAGAACAGTTTAGAACTGATAGTTACCCACAAAAAATAAAGTTGAGTCAGGTTGATATTGAAATGTATAATTCGTTCTTTAGTAAACACACAGTTCGAAATAATTCCGAGACAGAAACAAGTGTGACGACATCATCACGTGATGAACTCCGTGTTGTGACTGAAGCTCTGTCTGTTGTGCTCAGGTAAATATAGACCCAAAAATCTATGAATTGTCTTTGCCAGTGTAGGTAGTGCCAATCAAATGAACAAGCTTTCGTCGACCCCCCCCCCTCCCACCCCCACTAGTAACTCCAGGCGAAGGGCCTTCGCTCGAAACGTCGAAATTCTCCGTATATATTTGAGGTAGTTGCATAGGGACCAACGAAAGTTTGTGCAATAAATCTATGCCCGTTGCTACGCAATACACTCGCATATGTAATACAAATTTTTGGTTAACTGTTTTTCACCCTATGCTTACCTTTTCATAACAGTGGTAACTGGGCATGCAAATTATCCAAAATTGTGAATAGACCCCAATAGTTGTACCTGTCACCACTCATTTCACTCGCAACTTTAATTTAAATACTTCGTTACCTTGGTTCCGACCTATGCAAGTTATCCAAAAACAAGAATAGACCTAATCATTTGTACTTGTCACCACTCAATCCACCCTTCTGGAGAGTACTCAGCGTTGGCTATAGGGGCTTCGGTGGCGAAGTGGTTAGCGCACTTGCCTTTCACCTCTAAAGGCGGTTTTCCAGTCCTCGCACGAAGCTCCGCTGCGAGTGCTTGCATCTAATTAAAATTAACTGTTTAGCATTGTGATTGGATGAAAGTGCTCATGCATCACTCGCAGCGAGCTGCGAGGAGCTTCGTGCGAGGACTGGAAATCCGCCTTAAGGCAGCTGGTTCAAGCCTCAGTGAGAACTTTCCCAATGTGACTCGAACCCAGTCCTCATGTGAAAAGAGTAAAAGTCAACGCTCTGCCGAAAGTCGTGGGTTTTCTCCGGGTACTCCGTGTTTCCTCCCACAGGGAAAGTTGACAGGGTGGGTTAGGCACATAGGTCAGGAGGCAGACCATTAATGAGGTATGGACTAATAGCGGCTGCTCAAGCGCCATTTGTAAGCTCAAAGTCTACCTCGGTCTGCTTCACGTCAGTGCGGTTCTATCTATCTATTCACAATGTAACCAGTGCTGTGCAATATCTGTATCTGTATTTATACGGCCTCATTTTCGTGATTTGAGATGAGATATTGGGGGAGGGGGGGGTTAACTCCCTAGACTTGTTACATCATACAGTATGTAGTAGATAAAATAAAAGACCTTTATATAATTAGGTGATCAGTAACAAGGCTCTAAAGCTGATATCTCAATCCTGAAAACGAAGTTCTATAGTACTTTTCGGAAGTTACCATTTTCCCATTCTTTGCTTACATTATCAAAACACTGGTAACTATAGGCATGTGAGTTATCCAAAAATGTGTAATGTGGTTTTAAGCAATATTGACGGCAGATGTATCATGCCTATGACCTTAGTATGATCGGGAGTCTCTGACGTCACCTAAGAACAGGGGCAATTTTGCTCTGTTAGCCACATAGTTCCGGTTTTACCGCATTTGTCGTTGCTGTTTCGTAGTTCTGCTATAAATGTTTTGAGGTTTTGCCATAAATGTTTGTTGATAAAAATGCATTGTTTACATTTTCCAGAGGTTTACTAGATGATGAAAATTTTCACGCTGATATCCAAAGCTTGGCAGAAGAACCTATTCCATACTTCAGACAATATCAAACTGTTGATAACGCACCACGAACCAGTAGTGTGGGTTTTTTTGATGAGATGGATTTGGATGTGATGCATCCCAATTTAAAGGTTTGGAAAAGTTTTATTGAGGCGATGGGACAGCACATGGTCGCAGAATAGGATCCTTACAGAAGGTCGACTCGGTAATGCCATGATTCGCAATCATTCGTCACTAGAATACACCATTGAACTATAAATAAACTGGAAGGCTAACTGCTATGATGAAGGCCTATGATTTGATGAAGCCAAAATAGTTTTTCTGAGTTATGAGCAGAAATACTTGACCCCAAACGTCGTGCTTTATATCAAATTGAAGCTATTAAAAATTGCTATTCGGTGTGGAAATTTCAAGACTTCAGCGAAAAGAAAAATATTTAAAAAATACAAAAACAACTGCAAAATGGCAAATTATCGGTAATTATGTTTGTAGTTTTTCAATATTTCCCTTTTAGCTAAAGTCTTGAAATTTCTACACCAAATAGCGTTTTTCAATAGCTTCAATTTGATATATCGCCCAACGTTCAGTGTTGAGTATTTCTGCTCATAACTCAGAAAAACTAAAATGCACTGGCTTCAATTTCCCCCCCTGAGTTAGCCTTCCAGTTTATTTATAGTTCAATGGAATACACTCGCCACGTTCCTAGCCAGTGCGCCAATAAGAGGCATTCACCCCCCTGAACGTCCGCTATTTGAATATTTTCAGGGGGTGAATGCCTCTCATAAGCGCACTGGTTAGGAACATGCATGGCGACATTATTTCAACGGTTACGCCAAAATGATAGGCAAAACCAAGAAGTCGACCTTATTCTGTAAGGTATTCTATGACATGGTGTTCAAATTGAGAACTGTTGCCATGGGCCTTAGGGCCAAAAAAATTTATGACTAACTAATGAGCCCTATTTATATCTGGAGCAAGAAAAGTGATGTCCAATATCTATGAAGGTTGTATATAAAACAGTTTTAATACAATTTTCCCCAGCTAATTCAATAACGGACCGTATCGCTAATCAAGTTATCAGTTCATAAAACCATAGTGTTATTCTTCAAAATACGAAATTTCTGCACCTTCCTTGCAGACCGCGCGGACATAAACAATAGAAAGGGACTGAAAATGACGTCCAATGGCTCCATCTTTGCCTTTACTTTTTGTACTATGGAGCTCATTGTCGCCAACCCTGCTGGTTGACTCACCTATACATTTTCATTTTGACATAAAAATGTAGACGAAGGAGAAATTTCAACTGTCATAGAGAAATGTGACCATTTCAACCAATCAATTATTTCTTTTTCAGAATATTCCTATCGTGACAATATGTCCAAATACACCGACAGTGGAGAGCTTATCCAGTCCAAATGATGTTTTTGAACAAATCTTCCCTGAACAAGACGTGAACCTTGTTACTAATGAAATTAGAAGGTAAGTACTGAATTGTTTAGAACTGATACAGCTATCCCTAAATATAGTAAGTTTAAGTTCTTTCTACGTTTGCATGGCGATAAAACATATAATAGTTTTGTTTTTGGAAACACAAATTAATAAATAATAAATAATAAATTTACATGTAATAAATAATTAAGTAATAAATAATTAATTTGCAGTAATAAATTTACGTGGTGTTTCCACAAACAAAACTATTATAGTAAGTTTAGTTTGAGTTTCCTCCTGTAATATAACACGGTACAAATAAGGGATGGCATTTCCTGGACTTCTATGTAGAACAGTTTAGAACCGATACAGCTATCCATTATAAAAAGTTTGTTTAGTTCAGGTTGCCTACTGTAGTATTAAACACTGCGCCAAATGCAATAAAGGATGACAAATACTGGACCTCTAGGGAGAACAGTTTAAAACTGATAGAACTATCCAGTGTAGACCTATGAGAGGGATGGCTCCTGCTGGTTCTCTTTGGAGTCCTGACCCACGCTGTCAACTTTAGACACGCATTTCAATTTCTAACTTAAACCAATTTTTTGTAGTTCTTCAGAGTTCGCAACATTAGCAGAAGAGGTGTTAGAGAACACGATATGTAATCTGATGTGGGAAGCAAATCTAGGTGAAGTTAATCTCACTACAAGACCAAGAGTGATAGCTTTACCACCTAGTCGAGGCAAGACGAACCTATGAATAACAGCAAGTGTATAAACATGTATATATAGATGGAAAATAAGTGTATAGTTTCAGTTATATTGATAAATGTAAAAGGCTTTAGGCATTTTTAATTTATGCCTATTTGCATTGCGCTCTGAACAAAAGTGGGTTTTACACTTTTACTGAAGCAGATGGTGGTCAACAGGCAACTATCAGTATAGCCTATATGTATAACTTTTTTGTTTCGGGGGGGGGGACTCGCTACCAGAATTTTTCATTATTTTATATTTTATGGATTACCAGGCTAATATACAACTTTTCAACAAAGACTGTTATTTAAGGCAAAGTGTAAAAGATACTATGAGTATCAGTTGACCAGGCTTGCCCAATTTTAGGGACCGCCTGCCATGCAGGCTACAGTTGACCACGATCTGCTGTCCCGTTTAATAGATCTACTGAAACCCACGAATTAATAAACCGTTCCGGAAAGTGCTTAGCCTTGGCTGTAGATCCTCGCTTTCGGGATTAAGATGTCGATTCTAGAGCCCTTTATCTTGTTATCTTATTAACTTATATATTATATACAAAAACTATATGATTTCGTGAATGTGTCGTCACCTGTAGCAATATAAAGGTCTCTAAACCCGATGTCTCAAATCGCTAAAGCAAAGCTGCGAAGATCTCATAGCCAAGGCTGAGTACTTTCCGAAAGGATGTAACTGAAGTTTGGTGTTAGCGTTGGCTCTTCAATCAGTCCATCTGGTCTGGATGAACTTTCGTAGTACTGTCTGTCCATACACAGACCTTGAGTTAAGGTGGTAAGGTAAGGTAATATTCATGAAGTATTGAAGTTAGTCTAAGAATGTGGCTACCTCAGGAATCTAGAAAAAGCAAATCTTGGAGGGAAGAGGTTATTTCGCTGGCCTCAGAGTGACAAAGCGTAACAAAGCAACGGTTTTACTAACCCTACTCCAAGTTTGTTTCTAAACTTATCTTGGAGAAAAAAGTTTTGACGAAATGTCATTCTGAGTTAGCGAAATAACTCCCAAAAGTTAGAAGTAATGGTGGTAGGATATAAATTTTGGGTTAGCTGTGTTTGCGATGACCTTGCGCCCAGTTCTCTGCCTCGAACTCGGTCAAATTACTCGAGTACCGAAAGTTCGGAACGTCAATTATTTTTTTATAAATTTCTTCATTTATTTTCGCCGCAAAATACAATGGATATTGAACGTTTAACGAAGGCAGTAGAGCAAGAATATTATCGTCTTAAAGAATTCAAGAAACAAGAAGCAGACGAGGAGGTTAAGGTATAAAAAATGCGATGTTTTTCAACTTGCCCTAAATATAAATATATTGCACGTGTATAGTTCTCGCGGGAGAATTAAATTTCAAGTTGGTGAAGTTTTGCATACAGTAGTCGGTAGATTTTTTTATTTGAACTTAGTTTTATAGTACATAGTTCCCCATTTTAACTCGTACAATTTAGGTATAAATGAAATTGGTTGATTTTAAATTACTATAAATGTACAATTTACGCATTGGTAGCGGGAAAAGTTTGTGTTTGGGGAGGCTAATTTTTCAGCTAAGTAATTTTGGGACTAGTTTCCACCCAACTAGGTTCGGGGGAGGGGGGGGGGGTGCTGTAACATCCGCCCAGTCGTCAGGTGGTCGGCAAAATATTGAATCCATAGATATTGAGGAATTTCAGCTGATTATGTAGTGTTTTTAATGTGTTGAGTGCATGAGAAGCGCAAAGTTTGAAACAGGCATAGGAGTGATAGCTAAAATGCGGAGAAATTTACGAAAAAATCTGGGGAAAATGGAACGAAGAACAATGGTTAATTAAACACAAAATAAGATTGAGAAATATGTTTACCGCTGCTACCTGCTTGTCAACAATTGCCTTGATAACAAAATTCACTTACACCCCCCACCATTCAAAGAGGTCTAGTGCCGCCCCTGGACGCAACTGTGACAGCAGTAGCATACTCCCCCGGAAATACTTGAAAAATTGAGGCTCGAAAATGGCATTTCCTGCACTTTTTGGCACCGAGTTAAAGAATTTGGATGGCAAAAAATGCTACCAAAAATTGCTTCCTAATTCAGGTTTTGTTGGTCAATTTGGATAAATTGGTGGAGGCTAAAATCCCAGCAAATTATTTTGAACTGTCTGGCAATGGAAAAAGCTCACATTTTTAAACACAACATATACAACTTGATCTATTTTTAGGCCTTGGCTAGCCCCCTGTCAATATTGCAGCAAGTTTAAATTCTCTTACTGTAAGGAATATTTCAATGACCTGATCATTGGGGGCATCCCCCCTTGATCTGCTGCCCCTGAATTTACTGTATAACATTAAACACTTTATATTGACAGGAACCTTGACCTAATACATGTATCTCTTAACCAATGTATTACGATAAGAGTATTTCAGCTGATAAAGTTTATGTGTTAGGCGAGATTTTTTTTATTCATTGATTTACAGATTCCGCCGACCGTAAATATTCAGAAAGTGAAAAATAAAAAAAAAATTTTAGTTAATTTGGGGTACTAATTTGGAGTATACATGCCAAGTAAACTTTGACTCTAAGTACTACTGGCTCATGTTATCATTGTGACAATCTTGAAAAAATGTTTTTTAAAATTTTTTTCCAACCTACCGACCTGTTTTTTTTTCAAGTAAGATCCGTAAACCAATAAATAAAAAAGTCTCGCCTTATCTCCATTGACAAAATGTAAACTGTTTTCAGAAAAGTTTCTTGGCAAACCGGTTAAAAATCAAAGATCAACTCGAGAAGCAAGCTGAATGTCAAAAGAAACCAAAGGAATATAAATATGTTAGTTTTGCTCCCATCACTGGGCACATGCAAACAACAAGAAAGGTTTGTCAGTAATTTGGGCTCTGTGTACAAATGCTGTTAGTTTTGCTTATAAATAAAACATTATCCATAATGGTACCATTAATTAATGGTACCATTAATGTGAATCAAAATTCATTCCAACAGTTTGTAGAAAAACACTGACGGAAATTGTTTCATATCAATGGTTTTCAATAATTTGAATTCATGCATGATTTTACAGGTAAACTACGTGAAGCGTTCCTCTTTTGACTTTGTAACTCATTTGGAATTTGCCTCATTAGCTTTGCAAATTTGAAAAACTCTTGTAAATCCCTTGAGGGAATTTGCAATGTTCCTATCGGCTGTTGCAATATTCCAAACTTCATTTTAAATTTTCCTAACTTCCTGTTTTAATTTCCTAACTTCCTGTTCTGTTCTGAGCGTTGTTATTGGTGGATTATTTTTGTTAGCCAATTGCAACGGCCAGAACAGAACAGGAAGTTAGGAACTTGTAACAGGAAGTTAAGAACTTCTAACACGAACTGAGGAAAATTTAATTGGCTTTTAGCAACATTGCAAATTTCCTCAAGGGATTTGCAAGAGAGTTTTTTAAATTGCAAAAGTAATGAGGAAAATTGCAATCAATTTAGAAACTCAAAAGAGGAATGCTTCCCATAGTTTACCTGTAATGGGAAATACATTTTGATAAGAATAAACCATTAGTAGATTATACTAAGCTTATTTTCTTACATTAATTTAATTAATCTTGTTGAATTCGTAAATAGGAATTATGAATATACCATAAATTATAGAAATTACTTTTCCATTCATGGTTTTAAATCAATGTCACCGAGCACTCATGCATGACATGGGCTCCGTCCAGGGTTTTAGCCAGGATTTCGAAAGTGGCCGTCCAAGATAATTTTGTGGGCGTGGGCACAAGTTTTTGGGCGTGGCCACAATTTTTTGTTGTGGAATTGTGGTGTTCTATTCGTTGAACCTTTTTACTTTTAGTTTTAGATGCACATTTCCGTTATTAAATTAGTAAAAGCACACATATGATATGAACCGTATGATCACTACGATGTACAGTATATGCTATAATGAAGAACGCAACACAGCAGTGTAGTGTTTAGTTATTTTTATCAATCACCGATATTTTTCACCTTTTTTATGCGTTTGGCTCATTTTGTAGCCATCTTTACCGTAACTATAAACTCTAAAGCATGTGGCGCTCGAGCGATAGCGTTTGTTGATACTTCAATTCAGCCATATTCAATGTGTTTTCGACGGGGGAAAATGTAAAAAAACATATGCCATAAGTAAAGTAAACAGCAGATGACAACGATTCAAAGTATTCAAGAAATATTACAAAGCTTGTAAATTGCTATTTAAAGAAAATATTCCCTTAGGCCATCCATGGCCGTCCATTAAAATTTAGCCGTCCGAATTCAGAAGTGGCCGTCCATAGGACGGTCGGACGGCCGCCTGGCTAACACCCTGGCTCCGTCAAGAATCTTTATTACTAATGTTGTATTGTTGTTTTTTGCAATTCTTTTTATAGTCGTGTGTTAAATCTGGTGGAACATACTCTCCGCAATACACCTGTCTAAGAGTACTGTATTCTGTCTCACCTATACCACAATTTTTCTGCTGGGTCTCGTTACAACATAACTATATGGTAATCTATATAAATTACTGTGTAATGTCATATGCCTGTGATGATGTACAGTATAGTATTGATAATGCCTTACAGGGGAAAAGTGTCTCAATTGTTGGAGTCTGATATTGCAGTGGTATATCCAATGGCAAACCAGGCTCTGAATTTATGTAAGAATCATATACTATAGGTAATGGGGTGCATAAGTAAAATATTCCTTAATAGTCCCATCAGTCCAATGGTACCATCAAAAGTAAGCAAGAACTTCGCATACATGGTACTTAGCTAAAAGAAGATTTTTTGGTATTCTGCTGGAAATTGCTGTATCTTATGGCTATTTGAAAGCCTAAATTGTCAATGAAATTTGCACTGTCTGTCATTTCTTTTTTTTTGCACTGTATTTCATTTTTTGGCACTGTATTTTGAAAAAATTGCACTGCTCTTAGCCAATCTGAATTGAGAAATTTTTTCATGTATATTAATAGTTCTGTTCCATGTCACCAGGTTGAAGATGAGACAGTCTTACACAACATTCCATACATGGGTGAAGAAGTTCTTGATCAGGACGGCACTTTTATTGAAGAACTAATAAAAAATTATGATGGCAAAGTCCATCGAACTCCTGATCATGGTAAGGGCTTGCAGCTTGTGCATATGTCTATTGTTTAACCCTTTAAGTGGCACTGCGGCCTAATAATGGGCAAGTGCTGACTAGACTGGCAATTGATAGCAATAAGTTAATCACACTATCGCACCCTACTTTGTTATCTTTCTCTCTAACACCAGACGATTTTACTGTTCAATGGGGAAGTGCTGACACTCAATGGGTTAATCAGACTATCTGCCCACTTGTTGTATTACAGTAACTCTTTAAGTGTCATTGTGTCCCAATATTTGGGGAATGTGCTGGCCAGACTCAATGGGTGAATTGATGACATTGCTATTGTTCTTTGTGTAGAAGAGAAAAGGAAGGGGTAAAGTTTTTTGGGCTTTACCCTACTACTATCTGTCATAATTATAAGTACTCATGTTAGTGCATTTGTCTTTGTGAAAACAGATGCTTCCAGTTTGACACTGCGTGTTTTTGCTAGGTACTTTGTGGTAAAACTGGACCCTTCTCAGACCTCTAGGTAGAATAGTTTAGAACTGATGAAGTTACCCAATATAGTTTAGGTTTCCTCTAATTAGACTACTTTACTCTACAGTATAGACTAGACCAACATTAAGGATGGTTCTTACTGGATCTCTGGAGAGAACAGTTGAGCACTGATAGAGCTATCCAGTGAGTGTGAAAGTAGTTTAGTTTATGTAAACATTTTCTTGTCTAATATATTTACAGTAATTGATGATGGTAGCCTGACAGATGACATGCTTTATGAAATAATCAACAATCTCACAAAGTCTAAAGATGAATCGTCAAATAATTCAACTGGTTCAGAAACGGAAGGTAAAAGCAAGCCTTGTACTTTCGAATATTTGTAGACCAGGTCCTATGGTACGTTGTATATTTGCCCTGGTCAGCACAACACTTGCAGGTACATGTAGTAAATTTGATCCAAAGTTGGTAATGTTACCTTCAAATATATATTGTATCTGACCACTGCTGTATATTTGGGATCAAGCAATAAGCTAAGTAATTCACTATATAATGTATGTTATTGCCTCTTTTTTTAGACTCGTGTATGGTGGAGTTAAACAGCAATGGCATGCCTGCTGATGAAATATTTCAAGTTATATTAAATCTGTGTCCTGGTAAAGGATGGACGTTGGAAGACATTAAAACAAGGTACAGAACACCATACAGTTACAATGGTTGGTAGTATTCTACAGTATTAAAGCTGCCTTAGTTGGTGCAGTCTGAACTACCTGAAAAAGATATCTCAAGCATGGAGGTCCATATTCTACAATGCTTTCTGTACAATTCTGCTGTAATCTGTGTCTGAACTACAGTACCTGTAAAAATATCCCAAAGGTGGTGGTCCAGTATAGGTTTAGTATTCTACAATAAGCTGATGTGGTCTGTGCCTGAACTACTGTATCTGTAAAAGATATCTCAAACGTGGTGGTCCAGTATAGGCAGTACTCTACAATAAGCTGCCGTGGTTTGTGTCTGAACTACCTGTAAAAGATATCTCAAATGCAGTAGTTCCAGCGTAGTATTCTACAGTTAGCTGCCGTGTTTAGTGTTTGAACGTGTCTGAAAATATCTTGTGGTGGTCCAGTGTAAAAGTGCCTTGGTTTACTGTAATGTCTAAACTACCTCCAAAACGCTATCTCGTTAGGGACCGGTCATAAAGTAACTGCTAGGGTGGGCTGGAGTGATTTGGGGTGGGCCATGGAAAATCTTTGGGCAGTTTCGATGGGCCGCCAATTTTTTTGTGTGTCCACGGTTGGGCCACCAAACAAAAACCCATGCATGTCTACTTCAAAAAATAAAGATATTAATAATAAAAGTAAACAAAACTAACCACATTATCAAATGCAAATGATGCTATTGAAGTTAGTACTTTGGAGAGCAGCTCAGTATGTCTAGCTTAGTGGAATTATGTGCGTCAATATAGTGCCGGTGTATATTTACAATGTTCATACCTGCAAGTTTTTTTTTATTATAAAAGTGTATTTTTCCAATTCAGATTGGGTGGGTCATGAAAAATATTTTGTAAGATTAGATGGGCTTTGAAATCTTTATCTACATCCTAAGATGGGTCACCATGCAAACGTATTGGCAAAATTTGTGATTTACCTCCAGCCCACCCTAGCAGTTACTTTATGACCAGTCCCTTATCTCAAATGTGGTGGTCCATTGTAGATAGTATTTTACATTAAACTACCATCGATGATGATTTCTGTCTGAACTATCTGAAAAATATACTGCAGTATCTTAAACTTTGTGGTCCAGTGTAGGTTAAATATTCTGCAGTAACATGGTTCGTAGCGGTCTTTGAAATCCTTGAAAGTGTTTAACTTGGAACTAATAGTGGAATGCAGGTCTTTGAGGTCTTTGAAAAGTCATTAAATTGTGTGAAAAAGCGAAGAAAGTCTTTAAATTCTTTAGTGAAGAGTTGATTATACAATTTCCTAGCTAATAAAATAGATTGATTTAATCAAGATTTTCGCAAATATCGACGAAAATGCGCATTTTAGGATGTGATTTGACGGGACTAATTACTGGGTAAAAATGGTGCTTACACTCGCAATTTTTCGACAGCTGATTGCTCTCAAAGGTCTTTGAAAAGTCTTTGAAACTAGGCAGAAAAAATCTTTGAAAGCCTTTGAATTTTTTTGGTCTTGGAGACTACGAACCCTGAGTAAGTTGCCATGGTTTACGTGTTGCATGTTGATGGCGGAAAGTGGTAACACATATGGATTAAATTTCTCTAATTTCTCAAGATACAAAGAAATAAAGCAACGTTTAACAGGTGGAGCTCCTCAACAGTGTACTCCAAATATAGACAGGTATGTGAAGGATATGAAATTCAAGATTTCTAGTTGTACCTGGGGGACAAATCGTCATGCGAAAAAAGCAGTTTTGTAGGCCAAAAGAATTATAGCGACCAACTTTCAGTCAGTTTTAAACCCTCGAAATTCCTTTGCAGATAAATTTCTTGACATTGCAAGAAAAACAAAAACTAAACATCGCTAAAACAAAACTAAAATTGAGTATTAGAAAACAATTTTGTCAAAAACTAACATGGCCCTATAAAATGTTTAAAACTTATTGTACACGTAAAAATCTCGCATCTTGTAGCAAGTCTTCCAACAACTCGTCAACAAGTTTGGAACAAGCTGTGATGACAGACTTGTTAGAACTACTTAACTTTGCTACAAGTCGGATAATGCCATCAAGCTTGTTACAAGTTGTTAACAGCTTGTTCCAAACGTGTTACAACAACTGGGAACAAGCTGTGCGAAGACAAGTTGTCGACAACTTGTGAACAAATTTGTAACAATTCTGTAACAACTTGTGCGTTTTTACGTGTGAGGCTAGAGAAATTCTTAATTCGTGTTGATGTTTCCCTATGTTTCTCAGTAATGTTTCCTAGTGTTTGCCCACTCTTGCAAACATGGCGAAACATATTTGGTATAGGAAACAATGTTTCCGCAACAATGTCTCCTAGTTTGCCCAGGGCTTTATGTGGTTCAGTTTTACAAATGCACATGTACATTGCATTCTGTGTTTCAGTGAGGAGGCTCAATCAGCATCAAGGGAACAAACAATGCATTCATTTCACATGTTGTTTTGTCGGAGATGTTTTAAATACGACTGTGTCCTTCACGCGTGGAAACCACTACCAACGCAAGTGAGACGAAAGGTAATTCTGCTAAATATCTTGGGTTAAAACGTTTCAGGGCATCCTTTCAAAATTTTTCAGCGGGGAGGCTATCAAGATGTGGCGGACAATATTGTGGACTGGGGGAGGGGAGGGGGGATTGGGTTGCCAACATGTTACCACCTTTCGTTGCCGGAAATATTAGTTCTTTTAATTTTTTGCGTTAAATTTAATGCAATGGATAGCTTGATTTGTAGCCTAGCAATGCTTTTAAGGTTGAAAAAATATAGTTACAGCTTTGTAATATTTAAAATCCCGACTATGAGGACTGGACTAGATTTCAAGTCGCGCAATTTGATCAAGTCCGAGGCGAAGCTGAGGACTGGATCAAAATGCGAAGACTTGAAATCTAGTCCAGTCAGAATGGACCTTTCACCTTTTGACTACAATTTAGATCTCGACAAGTCTAGACAAAAATTTCATTACAACTTGAAAGAGTATCACAAAATTAATAATACTCCAAAGTTTCGTTGCGAAATGTTGTAAAATGCGGATAATATAGCCTTTTCAGTCGTATTGTATTACGTGCGGGAAATACATACCTCCTTCGGAAAAAGGGTATGTATTTCCCGCGCGTAATACAATATGACTGAAAATTACAAACTTCGCAAGGCTATATTATCCGCATTTTACAACATTTCGCAACGAAACTTTGGAGTATTACTATAATTTTGTGATGCTCTTTCAAGCTGTAATGAAATTTTTGTTTAGACTTCATGTTGAGATCTAAATTGTAGTCCAAAGGTGAAAGGTCCATTTGGAGGATTTGAAATGACATCTCGTACGAATAAATCATTACTTAAAGTGAGGTGAATTAATTTTGATCCTGTCCAAGGACTGAATTAATTTTGATCCAGTCCAAGGACTGAATTAATTTTGATCCAGTCCAAGGACTGAATTAATTTTGATCCAGTCCAAGGACTGAATTAATTTTGATCCAGTCCAAGGACTGAATTAATTTTGATCCAGTCCAAGGACTGAATTAATTTTGATGCAGTCCAAGAACTGAATTAATTTTGATCCAGTCCTAGAACTGAATTAATTTTGATCCAGTCGTAGAACTGAATTAATTTCGATCCAGTCCAAGGACTGAATTAATTTTGATCCAGTCCTAGAACTGAATTAATTTTGATCCAGTCCTAGAACTGAATTAATTTTGATCCAGTCCTAGAACTGAATTAATTTTGATCCAGTCCTAGAACTGGATCAATATACCTCATCAGGTATCCAGTATTATAATGTGAGCAAAATGAAGCAATATTTTTGGCTAATTTGCTCACGAATTATTAATGCGTTTGAGATAAGTTATGTCAGTAACGTATTGAGCGCCAAAGCTCTCCCCTTGACGAGTAGATTTTACTCGATTTTACTCGCAACTTAATGGGTTAAACCTCTATCTAGCATCAGGCTTAGCAGCATATGTGCACGTTTAGCAGCGCGACCAAGCATAGAGTACATGTAACTTGATAATGAAGTAAGACCTTTATTGTAATTAATGGTTATTCGTGCTGTTACAACTACAGTTTTCAACATTTTGCATATTAATGATCATGCTGTTATAGAATAGTATATTTATACAAATGTTCTTAATCCTAGGATTACCTCTATCTATGCTATATAAATACCATAATGTACCAGTCAATGTAAAGTACCATAAATACCATAATGTACCAGTCAAAGTTCCATTCTCCTCTGCGGAGCCGTATAGTTAAACCACGTTAACCACGTGGTTAAACATGAAGCCTAGTTATGTACTATTCCGTCGTAATGTATGCCAATACGCCAGAGATACTTTAACCTTCAATGAATTGGCTAACTACAGTAAGTTAGTTTACTAATCTACAATATGATTACTATAGTCTGTTTTAGTTTTCTAAGAAATAGTGATGCACCGATATCGGCTCAAAATTTAAAATATCGGTATATCAGTACTTTTGTTCCTGATATCATCGGTATTGTACTATAACAAATTTATACAGTCTATTTTAAAGTTTAAAGAATATTCTTGATGTCAATTTGACTGCAACACAACTCGGTGCCCCGCATGTAACGATATTTATTATTAGCATGACAAAATTACTGGATGCTGATTGGTTGAGAGGAGTACAATTATTTCATTAATTGTACTGCAGTACAATTAATGATTTTCCCAAAACAAACAAAATGGCGGAAAGGTATTTTGAACACAAATGTGAAATGAAAATTTTGCCCTTGAGGAACTCGCCCCGGCGGCTCGTCCAATTTTGGCAAAATTTCCAAACATCACTCGTACTATTAATCCCTAATTGTACTCGCCATCGCAAGATTACCCATACAAATTCAACATGTAGCCAAGATGTTATCAATATATACGTGTATGGCATGTGTTAATACATGATTGGCCACTCTTAACTCATATAGTTTATATGATGAGTTTTCTACAGTAAGTCCAATTGTCATTTGTGAATGTCGAAGTGGCATCGGCCAATATCGGCCCTTGAATATCGGATTATCGGGAAATTTCAATATCGCTGCATCACTTATCACTTTACTAAAGCCTGGTTCGTACTAGCAATTCTGTCGGCGATTTTTCTCCTCCTGGAAGATGTGATCGAATGAATGACATGCAAAAGACTTAGAATTGTTTACTTCTGAAAAGCGACTCTATACTTACGTGTGCGAGTTCACTCATTTGCATCCGTTAGAAGCACAAAATCGCCGACAAAATTGCTAGTGTGCATGAACGAGGCTTAAGAAATGATCACAAGTTATTGGACTTGATGTTAATTCTAATACTTGTCCTCATTATCCACGGACCTAAAAAGGAACCAGCTACCGACAACAATGAATGATACAGCAAGCAGTCCAAGAATTATCAGCGCTTTCCCGGTATCAGAACGGATACATTTCGTGAACTTGGACCAAACTTTCCATACTAAACACTTGCACTTAAACCAGCAACTTTCTGAGCTTGTTGAATCTTCGTCATCGCTCTCACAAACTGACTCTACGATCGACTCTGCGCCTTGTGCAATAACCTGCGCGATCTCTGAGTGCTCATTCACTGGACTCGGTTGCTTTAGACGATGAAACTTCCCTTGCAGCACAGGCAGCTGTTTTCCTCTATCATTCAGCTCAAAGAGAAAGCAATTCACGCTTGCACGATAACTAGAATTCCATCTTTTGGAAATATTAGCTATACATACAATATACCTTTTCAAGCCAAGAGTCGGCATATGACCCCAAACTGTGTTCTCGTCTCCAGAGCTCGGTTTGTTCAAGCTTAACTGATGGTGCGAATGCCACTGCCCCAGATTACATAAGCCATGTTTCTTCGTTAGGTAGCTTCCAGCGGCTGCCAAATAATCCAAATCTTGAAAGAATGATGTTTCATAACGCTTACACTTCTTCCCTGGCCCCAATGCGAACTGAACAACAGCCGTGTGGGAATCCATCCATAAGCCAAACAAATCGCCTCCTGTCTCAATTTTCTTATGCAAAAGCACCCAGTTCTTTATCTTTGCAAATTCACTCTTGTATATATATACTTTCAATTTCCTGCCTTGTCCACTTGCCTCGTCTTCGCTCGATTCTTGGTCTACCAGTCTTCGATATTCAGTCGTGCTCGGCATCTCTCTCATCTCCACCTGACGAATTTTTGGGGTTTTTTTTTGCTGGCCTCGTTTCTTTTTATTCTTATTCTTTCTACTCATAGGAAGAAAACGATTTGAATGTATAAACGTGTTTCCGTGTCTACTGCAGCTCGATTGTTATGGAAAGCTTGGTACTGTTGAAATCGTTTCGAAAGTATAACTGGCTTCGCGTCTTGCCGATGAATGTCGGGAATATTTCACAAGAGCATTGCACCCGTTTAACGAAGCCTAGTGTTGTCTTCTACTTTCGATTCTTTCGTGAATTGCAAGTCATGAAAACTGAGCTCGGTTTATTGAAATCGTTTCGAAAGTATAACTGGCCTCTCGCCTTGTCGACGATGAATATCAGGAATATATCACCAAGAGTATTGCACTCGTTTAACGAAGCCTAGTTTCGTCTTCTACATTCGATTCTGTCGCGAATTCCAAGTGATTAAAAGCACGGTTTATCGAAATCGTTTCGATAGTATCAGTGAGTTTACGTGTCAGTTCGTTGAGGTTTAACGGCAAAGTGAAAGTCTCATTGATATACAATATGCATAAATAAACAGCATGTGGTCCGTGAAATTCTGTGAAGTAGATAATTTACTCGGAAACCGTCTTCTAGTATATATATTTCATAAGTAAATCTTTCCCTATTGTATACAATATGAATAAGGAACAAGAATACTGATCATAAATTTTAAGTAAATTACTAAATACTTATAGGCCTACAAAGATAGGAATAAGCTAAATCAACTATTATATGAAGCAAAGTGAAAGTCTTGTATTGAAATGATACGTATGAATAAGCAGCAGCTGGTCGTGAAATTCTGGGTACTAGGTTTACTGTGAAACTGATTTCGGTTATCTGATTTCCTAGTAATTCAAAGTGGAAGTAACTTTACTCTGTTAGGAAACTTCATGTAAGTTATTTGTACTGTATTTACTTAAAGTGGCTCTACGCAGGAAACTGACCGATACGTGCGCTTGTCGGATTCAAATTGTACCTCCAAGTCTCGCTCGAATGCACTCTTCCAGAAAGTACCTAATCTTGGCTATAGAGCCTCGTTTTCGGGATTGAGAAATTGGCTATAGAGCCGTTTGTCTTGTCACTGATGACAGCTGATGACCTATAGTTCTATAAAATCTAGAGGTGTGTAAATCCGATCGGATTCGTTCGGATTTCGGAACAAAAATATACATTTCGGATCGGATCGGATTGATAAAGTTGTTTCGTAGTCGGATCGGATCGGACTTCGATATTCTAAATAAAATGAATTAATTATCCACGCATTATTGCAAGAATTAATATCCATGCATTTATCAAAGCATTATCGCGGTTGTCGCTGCATTTTTCGTTTGATACTTCAATTGGACGTCACTTTGTTAGCTTCTTGACATGTATTTCTTGCTTTTATATTTATTTGGTTAAATATTTCAACTTGAATGAGAAATTTATTGGGTTAAAGGATACTTCGGACATAAATTATGCAATCCCATGTTTAATCCAAATTAATTCCAACATATTTACAATTCAGATATTTATAATCGCCAGATGCATCGTATATGCGATACTTTGTCATTGGTAATCTTCACTAGTTTTATATCTTATATATACTTGCACACATTTATATAGACTTGTTATAGTCAGTGTTCCAAATGGCATTTTTCTCGTGCCTAAGTTAATATTAATTCTAATAATTGGGCTAGTTATCCCCGGACCTAAAAAGGAACAAGCTACCAACAACAATGAATGACACAGTAAGCAATCCAAGAATTATCAACGCTTTCCCGGTATCAGAACAGATACATTTCGTGAATTTGGAGCAAACGTTGCGTACTGAACACTTGCACTTAAACCAGCAACTTTCCGAATCTTCGACGTCACAAACTCTCGGCTTTTCGGCTCCTTGTGCAATAACCTGCGCGATCTCTGAGTGCTCATTCACTGGGCTCTGTTGCTTTAGATGATGAAACTTCCCTTGCAATACAGGCAGCTTTTCTCCTCTATCATTCAGCTCAAAGAGAAAGCAATTTACGCTTGCATCATAATCAGAATACCATCCTTTGGAAATATTAGCAATACACACAATATACCTTTTCAAGCCAAGAGTCGGCATATGACCCCAAACTGTGTTCTCGTCTTCAGAGCTCGGTTTGTTCAAGCTTAACTGATGGTGGGAATGCCACTGTCCCAGATTACATAAGCCATGTTTCTTCGTCAAATAACTTCCAGCGGCTGCCAAATAATTCAAATCTTGAAAGAATGCTGTTTCATAACGATTACATTTTTTCCCTGGCCCCAATGCGAACTGAACAACAGCCGTGTTCCCATCCACCCATAAGCCAAACAAATCGCCCCCTGTCTCAATATTCGTGTGCAAAAGTACCCAGTTCTTTATCTTTGCAAGTTCACTCTCGTATATATATACTTTCAATTTCCTGCCTTGTCCACTTGCCTCGTCTTCGCTCGATTCTTGGTCAGGTAGTCTTCGATATTCAGTCGTGCTCGACATCTCTCGGCTCATCTCCACCTGACGCTGTTTGGGGTTTTTGTTGTTCTTTCAATTCATTTTATTTTCCTGCTGATATAGGAAGAAATCGATTTTTAATGTATAAGCGTGTTTCCTTGTCTACTGTTCGACTCGGTTGTTATGGAAAACCCAGATTATTGAAATCGTCTCGAAAGTATAACTGGCTTCACGCCTTTGTCAATGAATATCAGGAATATATCACCAAGAGTATTGCACCCGTTTAATGAAACCTAGTTTTGTCTTCTACACTGCAGTCGTTTCTTTTGTGAACTCCAAAGTCACAAAAAGCCCGGTTTATAAAATCGTTTATAATAATATAAGTGAGTTCACGTGTCTGTTCCTTTGTGTCTGTTCCAACTGTTCGTTGAGGTTTAAATCAAAGTGAAAGTCTCATTGATATACAATATGCATAAATAAACAGCATGTGGTCCGTGAAATTCTGTGAAGTAGATAAATTTACTCGGAAACCGTCTTCTAGTAATTACGTATTTCATAAGTAAATCTTTTCCTGTTGTATACAATAAGGAACAACAATACTGATCATAAATTTTAAGTAAATTACTGAATACATATATATATATATAGATAGGAATAAGCTAAATCAACTATTATATGAAGCAAAGTGAAAGTCTTGTATTGAAATGATACGTATGAATAAGCAGCAGCTGGTCGTGAAATTCTGGGTACTAGGTTTATTGTGAAACTGATTTCGGTTATCTGATTCTATAATGTTATACACTGCGTTCATATGAGACAAAAACTTTTCCCGTGTACCGAGACCTCGCTTGTTGACAGACGAGATCTCGGTGACCGGGATAAAAATATAGGAAAAACATTAATAATATTACAGTCGTGCCAATAGAAGCGTTCCGAAAAATGTTGACCAATTCATTTCCTAACTTGAAGGAAGTTCAAGGAACACCTCTGAACAATTCCTCAACAATATGATACTATTGTTCCCAGTAAACTGCGAAACGACCGTTTTTAGGCCGTTTGTCAGTGACAGTTTTGTCAATTACGAAGGACATATTTGTGTACCTCGTGATCACAATTCGTTGCAAGTGGCGTGTGAAAAACTGCAAGTTTCAGTTTGACAGTTCTGACAGTTAAATGGGTTTCTAATTTTATTGGCCAATGAGGTGCGTAGTTTTGAATTTTAAATCAAAACTACGCACCTCATTGGCCAATAAAATTAGAAACCCATTTAACTGCCAGAACTGTCAAACTGAAACTTGCAGTTTTTCACACGCCACTTGCAACGAATTGTGATCACGGGGTATAAAAAATATGTTTTTCGTAATTGACAAAACTGTCACTGACAAACCGCCTAAAAAACGGTCGTTTCGCAGTTTACTGGGAACAATAGTAAGTTCCTTAAAAAGTTCCTAACTTCCTGTTTCGTTGACCAATCAAATTTTATATTTTATTTTTGAGCAATCTGATTGGTCAATGAAACAGGAAGTTAGGAACTTTTTAAGGAACTTATCAAATTGTTGAGGAATTGTTCAGAGGTGTTCCTTCAAGTTAGGAAATTAATTGGTCAACATTTTTGGGAAAGCTTCTATTGGCACGACTGTAATGTTTTTCCCATATGAACACAACTTTCCCCCTTAGCGGGATAACTTTCTGTCGTGTCAGCAACTTTTCAATTCAGTTGATATTCAGTGGTACGTCACAGCCGAAAACTTTACCCGGTTAGCGGGATAACGTTTCTCCACATGAGCAGAACAAAAGTATTTGGCTAGTCGAAAAGTTTTCTCGTTAACCGGGATAAGTTTTGCCCATATGATCTTCTTTGTTTTCGAAACGAATTAGAAACGACTGTAGAAGAGTCGGGTTTGCAATCTGTTTTATAAGATTTCCGTTATACTGAAGGATTGTTCATATGAGGCTAAACCTTTGTTGACGCATATAAAATTCAATTCATATGAGAAACGAGCCAGCTCGGCTATGTGAGATCTGAGTCATGCAAGTGGGATGAAATTTTCCATATTTTATTTCCGGGAATCGAGATGGACCGCATTTTTTGAACGGTCTGTGACTGTGCCAGTGTAGCTACAATCCTGGTCAATAATGTTGGCGCACTTGACACTGACTGTGCGAAACAGTTTGACTCCCACATCAATAACAAGCATAGCAACCCCCCTTTCCCCCGTTCAATGTTGTGTGTAGTGTGTTATACGTCCAAGGTGTTACACAACATTGATAAGGGGGATAGGGGGTGTTTGGACATGAAATTTTGCATAAAATGGGCACATATGTATGTGGTAATCAGAAATGAAGTAAAGGTTATACTATTTCGACTAAGTGCGCCAAGGATTTTTGACCAGGATTGGGACCGCATTTTTTGAATGGTCTGTGACTGTGCCAGTGTAGGTAGTACCAACAGGTAGTAATAAGGTAGTTGCATCTTTCTCAACCTGAAGCTTTCTATCCCAAGTTATTGGAGTTTATGTTAATTCTAATAATTGGGCTCGTTATCCACGGACCTAAAAAGGAACACGCTACCAACAACATTGATATGATTGAATGATACCTGCCTCGCACCCAGGCGTCTCTTTGTAAAAAAACAGTGATGCGCATATGACGAGTTTACATGAAGTATTGTAGTGGGGAGAGATGGGCGAAGGGGCTGATGGGAAGAGTGCACTTGAAATGCGAGACAACCGCCCCAACCATGCAACAGCCCCTTCAGCCCGACCAACAGAACCTTCATGTGTTATAATTATTTAAAGCGCCTGGATACGAGGCAGGAATTGGCATGAATGATACAGTAAGCCGTCCAAGAATTATAAGCGCTTTCCCGGTATCAGAACAGATACATTTCGTGAACTTGGACCAAACTTTCCATACTGAACACTTGTGCTTAAACCAGCATCTTTCTGAGCTTGAAGTTGTTGAATCTTCGCCATCGCTGTCACAAACTGACTCTACGATCCACTCTGCTCCTTGTGCAATAATCTGCTCGATCTCTGAGTGCTCATTCACTGGACTCGATTGCTTTAGATGATGAAACTTCCCTTGCAGGACAGGCAGCTGTTCTCCTCTATCATTCAGCTCAAAGAGAAAGCAATTTACGCTTGCATCATAATCAGAATTCCATTCTTTGGAAATATTAGCAATACACACAATATACCTTTTCAAGCCAAGAGTCGGCATATGACCCCAAACTGTGTTCTCGTCTCCAGAGCTCGGTTTGTTCAAGCTTAACTGATGGTGGGAATGCCACTGTCCCAGATTACATAAGCCATGTTTCTTCGTCAAATAACCTCCAGCGGTTGCCAAATAATTCAAATCTTGAAAGAATGCTGTTTCATAACGATTACATTTTCCCCCTGGCCCCAATGCGAACTGGACAACAGCAGTGTGGGCATCCACCCATAAGCCAAACAAATCGCCCCCTGTCTCAATATTCTTATGCAAAAGCACCCAGTTCTTTATCTTTGCAAGTTCACTATCGTATATATATACTTTCAATTTCCTATCTTGTTCACTTGCCTCGTCTTTGCTCGATTCTTGGTCAGATATGTTTAGTTTATGGTTTTTATAATCAGTCTGGCTCGGCATCTCCGTGATATGTTATCTTGAAGCTGTTTGGGTTTTTTGTCTTCTTTCGATTATTTTTACTTATGGGAAGAAACGATTTGAATGTATGTTTACTGTTCAGCTCGATTGACGATTGTTATAATCGTTTCGAAAGTATCAGTAACTTAACGTCTAGTGTAGGTGTTGTATTATTCTTTATATACATTCGATTCTGTCACGAATTCCAAGTCATGAAAAGCACGGTTTATCGAAATCGTTTCGATAGTATCAGTGAGTTTACGTGTCAGTTGGTTGAGGTTTAAATCAAAGTGAAAGTCTCATTGATATACAATATGCATAAATAAACAGCATGTGGTCCGTGAAATGCTGTGAAGTAGATTATTTACTCGGAAACCGTCTTCTAGTAATTACGTATTTCATATAAGTAAATCTTTTCCTATTATATACGATAAGGAACAACAATACTGATCATAAATTTTAAGTAAATTACTAAATACATATACATAGATAGGAATAAGCTAAATCTCTATTATATGAAGCAAAGTGAAAGTCTTGTATTGAAATGATACGTATAAATAAGTAGCAGCTGGTCGTGAAATTCTGGGTACTAGGTTTACTGTGAAACTGATTTTCTAGTAATTCGAAGTGGAAGTAACTTTATTCTGTTTGGAAACTTCATGTAAGTTATTTTTTGTTTGCGAGGCTAACTTTTCAGTCTGCCGTGGATATACACTTACTGACTTAGAGTAACATAAAAAACATTCATGTATAAAGTTATTTGTACTGTATATATTAAAGTGGCTCTACGCAGGAGACTGACCTATGTTCGATTCCTTGAACCACAGTTATTTTAATAGATGGTTTGGAAACTCGATGAAAGTACAATATAACTCATTAACTATGTTATTGTCCAGCTTTATGCAAGAATTTGGTCCTATCTCGTCACGTGTGTATTGTATTTTCGCTCAAATAACCAATAACAAGTTTGTGGTTGAGTTATCCATCCGTAACTTGAACAAATGCTCAATTTAAACATTGCTATTGGTTGTGCGGGAAAAAATACAATACACACGTGACGAAATAGGCCAAAATTCTTGCACAAACCGAAACCAACATAGTTAATGAGTTATATTGTACTTTCATCGAGTCTCCAAACCACGTATTCTATTAACTGTGCTAGAACGTGCACTTGTCTGATTATAATTTTACCTCCAAGTCTCGCTCGAATACACGGCTGAGCACTTTCCGGATGGGGTCATGACTCATGAACTGATCTCATAGTATACTGGATAGATCCAATTGAAAATAAAACTGATCTTACCACAAACTGGATAGACCATATAAAACATTCAGACAATTTGAGCGAAATTTGGGGCAAGTCTGTAACTTCGGTTAGATGTGAAGGAGCTTCCACTTTGACTCAAACATTCTCCGGTTGCGATGGTTTCCTCTGGTTGCTACGTTCCTCCTGTACTATACTAGACCAATGAGGAATGGTTTATAAAATTTGTTTTATGATTGATATATAGAGTCCAGATGACGTTCAAGAGACAAATCCATGCGGTGAAAAATGCTTCATGCATATCAAAGTAAGTATATCAACTGAATTCCTCTCACTCGTCTGAGAGTTTTCCCTTCATTATCAGTCATGCATGTGTGGTGGGTTTCAGCATGGATAATAAAATACATGGATAGGAAACTAGCTGACGTGACCTAATGTTTTCAATGGGATGACGGCGTTGAAACCTAGTTACAAACCAAATTCTCAAAAATGGCATGTTTAGCAATAATACAGCTAAACATTTTAGTCAAAGAGCAAATAAATATAACTAGGCCATTCTACGATGAAATCTCTAAGTATTCCCAGTCAATTTTAGCAAATATTTCAAGCACTAAACAGTGAAAAATGCATCGCAAATTTCGTTAAAATTGGTGACGCCAATTTCGTAGCTACAAATGTAAAAAAATGCAAAACAAAGGCAAAGAACATTTACCTTGAATACTTTGTCGTGGCTTTGGCATGTTTTTAAAACAATTAGACCAGTTTATGCTTCAATATTACTCTTTTATAGCGGAAAATATAGCTGAGAACTTTGGCAATACGCGTGACGTCACAAATTGCAACTAGGTTTAGACTGTGACGTCAGGAAGTTTCCTATCCAGTTATTTCACAATCCATGGATTCAGTAAACATTGCACATCGTGGGTTAGATTCTCGTTGCAGACTCGTGGCACTTGTATGAAAAGAGGGTGTGTCTTAATCGCCCTTACTTGCAGCTGAGAGCATGGGCGGATTTTGAGGGGAGGTGTGCGGAGGTCGGCACCTCCCCTCAACCCACCCTGTGAACATTCTCTATGGGAGGAAACTGGAGAAATCTCATGACTTTCGGTAGAGCCCCAGTTATGTTTCCTTAATAATGTCACTCTTTCATTCTCAGGACAATAAAAAACGACGTTTAAGCAGCGAGGTTGTGTCGTGGAATGGTGCAGAGAGTTCACTGTACCGTGTTCTCAGACCTATCTATCAAAGTAATTTTTGCACCATCGCGAAGTTGATCAAAACCAAATCATGTCAAGAGGTAACTGCTGTACTTTAACCTTGATACATTTAGAAGAGTCGTTTCCATACTGTCTTGGCCAAGTTTTCATCACTGATGAGTGATATGACAAAGTCTGAAACATTCTTGTCTTTTCTGTGCTGTATTTCTGATTGCACAGATGTTCAGACACTCAATTACATTTGCTGTTTTTCTAAGACGGCGACCAAATCGTGGTCATGAAATAGTCTGGATCTATCTTATCACTGGATAGAGCATTTTACTATCCGACCGGATAGCGTATATGCCGTATAGTTTTTAAAAAATGTCCGACCGGATTTTGGTTATATAAGGTTCAGGCCTAACCAGTCAAGGTCAAACAATTATATTCATTGGTATAAAGTGGTGGTGTTGACTTGATATTGACTGGAAATGATAGGGGAAAAATTTCACAATCCATCGTCGATCAACATGCATGGTTGGAAAATGAACAAGCTTTCTTTGGTAGGAATGCAACTACCTGAAAAGTATTATAAGTAAAATTTCGACGTCTCGAAGGCCCTTTCTTCAAAGCCTTCGTCAAAGAGTTCAAATTTCGAATCACACGTAAAAATCTCACATCTTGTAACAAGTCTGCCAACAAGGCGTCAACAAGATGTATTCGCACTGCTTGTCACAAGTTGTCAACAGGTTTGGAACAACTTGTTGACAACTTGTAACAACCTTGTCGAAATTATCAGACTTGTTGCAAGGTTGTTCTGACAAGTCCGTTACATGCTTGATATAACAAGATTGTTGCAACCTTGTGTTGACAACCTTGCAACATCCTTGTTATATCATGGCTGTAACAAACTTGTTAGCACAGTCTTGTTACAAGGCTGATAATGCCATCAAGATTGTTACAAGTTGTTAACAGCTTGTTTCAAACTTGTTACAACAAACTGGGAACAAGCAATGCGAACACAACTTGTTGACAGCTTGTGAACAGACTTGTGACAGCTTGTTTGCAGACTTGTTACAACTTGTGCGTTTTACGTGTGTACCATTTGCATTGCCTTTGCAAGCAAGCGTGACTAATGTTGAAAATATTGCCAGCTTTTCTGCGATCATTTCAACCAAAGATATGATAAATAATCGTACTTTTTAAACCATATTACATCATTTCTAAGCTGAAAAGAACGTCTGGACCTTAAATAAACAATACACGGTATTCGGCCGGATATTTTATGCGCAGGTAATAGATGCCAATAACACGCTAGTACCACCGAGTTGAGCCTATAGTTGATGCAGTGTATGAACCCTATAGCTGATGCAGTGTTTGAACCTATAGTTTACGCAGTGTTTGAAGCTATAGCTGATACAGTGTTTGAACCTATAGTTGATGCAGTGTTTGAACCTATAGCTGATACAGTGTTTGAACCTATAGTTGATGCAGTGTTTGAACTTATAGTTGATGCAGTGTTTGAACCTATAGTTGACGCAGTGTTTGAACCTATAGCTGATGCAGTGTTTGAACCCTATGCTGATGCAGTGTTTGAACCTATAGTTTACGCAGTGTTTGAACCTATAGCTGATGCAGTGTTTGAACCTATAGTTGATGCAGTGTTTGAAGCTATAGCTGATACAGTGTTTGAAGCTATAGCTGATGCAGTGTTTGAACCTATAGTTGATGCAATGTTTGAACCTATAGTTGATGCAGTGTTTGAACCTATAGTTGATGCAGTGTTTGAACCTATAGTTGATGCAGTGTTTGAACCTATAGTTGATGCAGTGTTTGAACCTATAGTTGATGCAGTGTTTGAACCTATAGTTGATGCAGTGTTTGAACCTACAGTTGATGCAGTGTTTGAACATAGTTGATGCAGTGTTGAACTTATAGTTGATGCAGTGTTTAAACCCTATAGTTGATGCAGTGTTTGAACCATAGGTTTACCAGCACTCGCTACATGAAGGTCAGGACGACGATCCAGTCCCCGAGTTTGAAGACGCGAATCAAAAAGCAAAGAAAAAGAGAAAACACAGGTATTTCGTGAATGACAAGCAGGACAAATGTTTAACAATTGAGCATGATATGAAGAATTATCAAGCCAGCCAGCCAAAGGCTGAGGTTGATAGCACATATAATATCTTGTTTCAAAAATAAGATGATATCTTGTTTCAAAAATTTAGATTGTGGTCATTGCACTGCAGGAAAATACAGTTGAAGAAAGGTAACACGTCTTTGAATATTCTCTGAGTTCGTTGTAAACATCGCTAATTTTATTTTGCTTTCTTTTAGACAGCACCAATAATCACGTGTATAACTATGTACCATGTGACCACCCTGGTCAACCATGTGACCAGTCTTGTATCTGTATTGCTACTCAGAATTTCTGTGAGAAGTTTTGTCAATGTAGTCCTGATTGTAAGTACAGTATTTGTATAAATTATCAAGCATTGAGATTCGAGGGAAAACAAATTGCATTGCTGTGCTGAGTGGTTATATTACTACCTGAAATAAACAAGCAGAAACTCGAGCGAAGGCCCTTCGCTCGAAACGTCGAGTTTCTGTTTGTTTATTTCAGGTAGTAATATAACCACTCAGCACAGCAATTTCACATTGGTACTGCCCACACTGGTACAGACAGTTTTAGTATATATCACAGAGGGAAAACAAAGACTATTTCCTGAGGGAACAGACATTAAGTGTTTTGTTATGCAGGGTGTCCCAAAAAAAAACAGAATTGCCTAGCACTAAGCTGAGCGCAAAGATGCGTAAAATATTGTCTGGGTGATTAAATATTGACTGCATGATTAAGAAATTAAAATATCTTTGTGAAGCGCACGATTTTCTGCTCTTGGAAATTTAAAGCAGCTTCTTAAATTCTAAAATTCGTTTTGTCTAACATAAAAATAATTAACGCTGCTGCGTATTACATAAATCTCTCTTACAAACATTCTTTTAAACAGTTTCTTTATGCATCAAATTTTCTTATATCAAGCTTTATTCACGTGTTGGTTCAGCAGAGTTCTCGCTGAGGCATTCAAATTCTAACAATACGTTATTTCAGTAGTTTTGCTTTTTTCGGGACACCCTGTATAGTAATAATTGTTTTTGTTTGTGGAAACACCACGTAAATTTATTACTGCAAAGCTTTCGATCCGTAAGCCCGGATCTTCATCAGTGCTAATAATATGTAGCACTGATGAATATGTAGCATATTATTAGCACTGATGAAGATCCGGGCTTACGGATCGAAAGCTTTGCAGTAATAAATTTACGTGGTGTTTCCACAAACAAAAACAATTATATTTTATCGCCATGCAAACATTCAAAGAACTTACCCTGTATAGTGATGAGGAAAAATAAAAAGCAATCACAAAACAATTATATTTCCTCAATAAAACTCTTTAATGTAAATTATTTTAACAACAAAATTTTTTTTCTTTCTGTGTTGGTGTAATGTACTCAGGTGAATATGATATTTGTGGTGTTACTCTGAGTGTATATCCACACCGGGCGAGCTTGAAAAATATGCCCGGCCACGGTGGGATTCGAACCTACGACCTTTGGAATAAGTCCTGACCGCGTAGCTCAGTTGGAAGAGCATTGGGCTAGTATTCCAAAGGTCGTAGGTTCGAATCCCACCGTGGCCGGGCATATTTTTCAAGCTCGCCCGGTGTGGATATACACTCTGAGTAACACCACAAATAACAAAAAAATGCTAAAAAGTGTTTCAGCAGTTACCTGTTGAGTGTTTTTCTTCGCTGTTAAGCCTGGTTCACATTGATCGGCGATGTTCTACGATCCATTGTCTGTGAGCAACGAAGAAGAAAATGCACAAAACATTTTATGCATCAATGACCACCGACAATGGGCATCGCCGTTGTTTACGATGAATGTGAACCAGGCTTTAGATACTGCATTCTTTTCGTAAACTGGGAAAGTGTTCTGTCTGAGCGGACAACAATTTTTCACTTGCCGCCCCCGGCGGGATACATCGCATTTATTTCAATCCACGTGACCACAACTCAGCCAATCACGTTTAGTTTAAGCGCCAGCTATGATAACAATGCAACCAACCAGCTCTTGTGATGTCGTGGTGACCATGCTTGCCTTTCAAGCTGGGAGACCCGCGGGTTCAATCCTTATAGTCGGACCTCTACTCAAGGTCTTCAAAATAATTGAGCAGAAAGTGCTACCTTTACATTGGCGACTTTCGCGTCTTCTCAGATAAGGACGTTAAAATCGTAGGTACATGGGATTCCATATCAATGGACCATTTGCATTATAGTCTAAATTTTGATCTACACAAGTGTGGACAAAAATTTCATCACAGCTTGAAAGAGCATCACAAAATTAGTAATATTCCAAAGTTTCGTTGCGAAATGTTGTAAAATGCGGATAATATAGCCTTGCGAAGTTTGCCGTTTTTCACTCATTTTGTATTACGCACGGGAAATTGACAGCCCAATCGGGTGTTGGGGCATCAATTTCCCGTTTGTAATACAAAATGACTGAAAACTGCAAATTTCGCATGGCTATATTATCCGCATTTTACAACATTTCGCAACGAAACTTTCGAATATCACTAATTTTGTGATGCTCTTTCAAGCTGTGATGAAATTTTTATCTAGACCAAAATTTAGTCTATAATGCAAATGGTCCATTGGGCAATAGCCTGTCCGTTCACCAATGAATGAGATACTCGATAAACAAAATACTGATTTAGTGCAGATTTTCATGCCTGTGATTTATTTCAGGTCAGAACAGGTTCCCCGGATGTCGTTGTAAAGCGCAGTGTGTGACAAAGCAGTGCCCATGCTTCCTGGCCGTGCGTGAGTGTGATGCAGACCTCTGCCACACTTGTGGCGCGGATAATTTCTCCAGTGACACGATGTGTTGTAAAAATGTTGGCTTACAACGAGGCGACAGAAAGGTAACGATGATATTTTTGCTTTTATACATGGGTTTTATTTATGGTTACGTGCATGTAACGCACATTTATAGACACAGAATAGTTTAGTTGCCATGAAAGTAATCCGTTCTATCAGTTCTAAACTGTTCTCATAGGGTCCAGTAAAATCTATCCCGTATTGTTCCAGTGTTACTGGAACAAGGGATAGGGATTCCTTGGATAGCTCCATTAGTTGTAAACTGTTCTCCCTAGAGGTTCAGTAAGGATCATCTGTTATTGATCCAGTGTTACTACAGGACGAATGCGAAACTAAACTAACTTTATTTATACTGGATGGCTCCATTAGTTGTAAACTGTTCTCCCATCATCTCTTATTGGTCCAGTGTTACTACAGGAGGAAACCGAAACTAAACTTTACTTACACTGGATAGCTCTATCAGTTCTAAACTGTTCTCCTCCAGTCGTACTAAAAGAGGAATCCAGAGTATACGCGGCGAAAGATTCAAAATAGAAGTTGTTTCCGTCTTTTCGTTCCAGCATATGTATTTTGCGCCGTCAGACGTTGCAGGTTGGGGAGTGTTTAGTAAAGACTCTTGTCAAAAGAACGAGTTGATTGGCGAATATTGTGGAGAGGTTGGTCACATTAATTATCACAATTCCACGGAGGTTGCTGGAGTCGGTGTCAGTATACTGTTGTCAACACTAACGTCACGCGAAAATAGGCCTTTCCCCTTATGAGTGAAATTTTGATCTAGATATGCTTGGACAAAAATTTCATCACAGCTTGAAAGAGCATCACAAAATTAGTAATATTCCGAAGTTTCTTTGCGAAATGTTGTAAAATGCGGATAATATAGCGAGGGTGCCCGCTGACCAACGTAGCACTTTTCTTAATTTTTGCCTGAAATACAAGTACTGTGAGGACAAATTTAATGAAAAAATGTAGTGCTCAGAATGCAGGAAATGGCATTCAGGCCTTCAAATTTCAAACATTCTCCGGTGGAGAATGCTCCATAATAGTAATGCACCCCCTTCCCCCACCCCTCTGGAAAACCTCCACACCTCTAACAAATGAGGCCAGATCTGCCCGTGGACCTGCACGATAGTGCTCAGTGAAACCCACCAATATCGATGACTTGTGTCTAAACTAAACTCTTTCGGTTCAACTGTCAGTAACGCTGCATATCCCAATTTCTCTATCTTTATTTTAAGATGATCTCCCAAGACGAAGCAGACAGACGTGGCAAAGTTTACGATAAATATATGTGCAGCTTTTTATTCAATCTCAATAACGGTAAGAAATTGAACCCTTTAAGCCTGGATGTCAGGGTGCGATAATTCAAAACTTTTAGTCGTACCTGACTGGCACTCCAATGACTATTGCCGCGTACTTGAGCAGGTACAAACTTAAGACTCAAGGTGTACTTAGTCTTTAAAATGATGTACATAATGTACAGGTTTTTGAAAGGGATTCATTCAGTAACCTTAAACTACGAGTTCCAACATTCGTTGGTCCATGCATCAGTCCCAATTATGTTTCATGCCTAGACATGCCAGACTTACACATATACTACATATATAAGCCAATTTGGAACAGGGCTCAAAATAACGGAAGATAGGTCTCCGGTCAAAATGACCGATCAACTTGATTTTAGTTTAGTCAAAATCTGTTTTTGACCTTCACTATTAGAAACTTGTTTCGATACATCATAGTTTCATGTTTTAATTCAAGACGTCAGCAATCACATTGGAAGGCATGAAAATGTGGCCTGTCAAAATGACCAACGACGTAAAAAAGTGACCACTCAAGAGGCATTTTTGTGCCATAAGTACCGTATGGAATTTATCGCGCCCTGCAAAGCACCGTTGTACACCCCTGCTATGTTTTTTTTTTACAATCAGAGTTGACATGATTTATTTTCTTATTTAACAGATCACGTGGTTGACGCGACCAGGAAAGGCAACAAGATGCGTTTTGCAAATCATTCTATCAATCCAAACTGTTACGCCAAAGGTATTGTTCTAGACTCAGTTCCGAAATATCATCAACTCGAAATATCATCATCTTTTTCCCCCTTAAACAGCTTGATTACAGAAGATAAATAGTTAATAAGTAATAGAACGAATTAAGTCGTGCTATTAATGCCATAATCATACTCGTGATTAACAAATCAACCTCCCGCTACGCGGTCGGTTGATTTTGTAATCACTCGTATGATTATGGCATTAATAGCACTCCTATTCGTTCTATTACCATCATTAATTGTACTGCAGTATAATTAATGATTTTCCCAAAACAAACAAAATGGCGGAAAGGTATTTTAAATACAAAGGTGAAATGAAATGAAATTGCCCAAGAGGAACTAGATGAAAATACGAACAAAAGCACCAAATTTTGCTTTGACAAAAGAACTAAATGAAAATACGAACAAAAGCACCAAATTTTGGTTGAAAGTATGGCAGGACTGGGCTTTGGCGAGAGAATATGATGTTGACATTGAGAAGTATGCATTTTTGTCATGCTAATAATAAACAAGTAATCATGCAATGTTGCTCGTACAATTAGGGATTAATAGTACTCGTGATGTTTGGAAATTTGCCAAATTGGACTCGCCCCGGCGGCACGTCCAATTTTGGCAAAATTACCAAACATCACTCGTACTATTAATCCCTAATTGTACTCGCCATCGCATGATTACCTATACAAATAGAATACATGATAGTGTTGGAAAAGCATTAAGAACAGCTAACCAAGATCGCGTGACTGCAAACTCTCATGTACTCCCATCCTCGTGTGATCCAGCATTTTCTGTTCAATATAGCATGTATTCCAATTGACGTCACAAGTGTAGTTTGTCCGAATATTCCCACAATTCTTGCTTGTCAAAATATATTTACCGCCTACTTGATACTAAGTTATTGTAAATAGGACAAGAGCCCCTTGATGAGCTGAAAGCTCTTGGGCAATTGTAATATTTCAAATATTAAAATATGTTTATTTAGAAGAAAAAAATTCTTGCGGGCTTAACAAATGAATATAGTTCGTTTGCATTCATTTGAAAGTCTATATTTCAGTTTGTGTGTCCGAATGAATTAATCACATATATAACAAGCTACCCCAGCAACACACATACATAGAAATGCAGTTCTTACAAGATCAAGAAAGACACGACTTGCAGTTAGCAGTACACATGTAACACACAGAATTAGTAAATAACGTAACCTTGGCTCACCATCTGAGGCCTTATAGCTAAATGGTTAGAGCGTCTGTCCGGTTATCAGAAGGTTACGTGGTTCGATTCTCGTTAGGGCCATAGATATCTTATATACACTAAATAGTGCATCTAATTATATTCTGCAATTGAAAAATTGAAGCCGTGATTGCAGACTCAGGATATTCCCATGAAATGAGAAGATTCGTATATTTTCTATTTCTTAAACAAGGAATTTAAACATTAAGTTAAACCTATTCCAAATACATTTTTAAACTATTCAAATGATGAAAGTTGTTGTTGTTTTTTAAGCGTTTATTAGTGGGAAATACCAACATGGCCGCCATCTATTCAAATTGGGGTAACCGCTGGAATATTCTTGGCTTCAATTTTACTAAAAGAGATGCGCTATCTACTGTAGTGTATATAAGATATCTATGGATAGGGCTCAGAACTTTTCTGAGTATAAGGCATTATACGCACCCACACCAAATAAGTTTGTGCTATAAATAACAACCTTAATCTACGCTATTTCCGGTCATCATCATAATAATCAGACAACGGCATATATTGCGGAAATCGAACCTCGGTCGCAGAGGTGTAAGTCACATGCACTAACCACTGTCGCAACCCCACCCTCCACCTCACCCCCACCACACCCTCCCCCCACCACACATTCGCCCTACCCACCCCAGGCACCCACCTTATACATCTCTATATTCTGTATGGTCCTACAGAATCGAACCCATAGATCCCAGGCCGGATTTCCATCATAGATATCTTATATACACTAGATAGTGCATCTAATTATTCTGCAATTCAAAAATTGAAGCCGTGATTGCAGACTCAGGATATTCCCATGAAATGAGAAGATTCGTATGTTTTCTATTTCTTAAACAGGGAATTTAAACATTAAGTTAAACCTATTCCAAATACATTTTTAAACTATTCAAACTATTCAAATGTTGATGCCGCCATCCATTCAAATGGGGGTAACCGCTGGAATATTCTTGGCTTCAATTTTACTAAAAGAGATGCGCTATCTAGTATATACAGCTATTTCAATAAGGTGGTCCCCCGAGCAAAGCGGAAAAGTCGAATACGAGCGCGAAAGGCTGCTGGGAATCGCTAATAGATTCATTAATTTCTTAGCGATTCCCAGCAGCCTTTCGCGCTCGTATTCGACTTTTCCGCTTTGCTCGGGGGACAACCTTAATTGAAATAGCTGTATAAGATATCTATGGTTAGGGCTCAGAACTTTTCTGAGTATAAGGCTTGCATGATACGCACCCACACAAAATACAGTAAGTTTGTGCTATAAATAACAACCTTAATGGTGATGTAAAGTCCGTAATGTAAACAAACGCTTTGTTTACATTTTGAACTCAGTGCTACAGTTGTAAAATATGATTAGATATATATTATACTGATTTTTTAACACTCTTCCGGTTCGCTATGCTTGTAAATGAATGCAGACTAGAGATTCAATTCAAGAAAGTTCGGAAGGTGCGAAATATTAACAACATTCCCAAGGTTGCTCCCCCACTGATGGAATGTGTTGATGCGCAGAATATATGCGCAGAACGGACTTTACAGCATCTTTAATCTACGCTATTTCCGGTCATCATCATAATCAGACAACGGCATATTGCGGAAATCGAACCTCGGTCGCAAAGGTGAAAGTCGCATGCACTAACCACTGTCGCACCCCACCCTCCTTCAGCCTCCACCCCACCCTCCAGCACAACCTCCCCACACCCTTCCCCCACCACACATCCCCCCACCACACATTCCCCACCTTACATCTCTATATTCTCTTTTATATATGCAAATATTTCTATTCCCACAGTAATGATGGTGAATGGAGATCATCGTATAGGAATATTTGCAAAAAGATACATTGAAGCTGGAGATGAACTCTTCTTTGACTACAGGTAATGTGTGATCACCTATTTAAGTTTGTACTAGCTTCAATAAATTCAAAAGTCGTTTGGAGACTTTTTGTAGCTGGGAATTTTGGCCGACTTAGGCATTATCATCAGTATACCAGGCCAAATGGCAAACCGCATTCTGGCTTTTTTCCAGGAAACATTTTCTAAATTTCTAAGAAATTATTTTAAGTAAGTGTCTTTGGTGAGAATAAAGGTGACTGAGAGAATAATTTTGCAAATATATGGAATACGTTTTGACAACATGTGTGGTCATATTTTTGTTTGTGGCTTCATCAATTGGTGATCAGCTAAATTATCAGCTAAAACTGTTGCATGCAACCTATACTTACAACTTGAGTTGTAGGCCTACTGTGTAAATCAAGCACACAACTCACGTACGACAAAGTAGGCGAGTTGTGTACTTGATTCACACAGTACAACTCAGTTGTAAGCAGGTTGCATGCATAGACATCTTATATACACTAGATAGTGCATCTAATTATTCTGCAATTCAAAAATTGAAGCCGTGATTGCAGACTCAGGATATTCCCATGAAATGAGATGACTCGTATGTTTTCTATTTCTTAAACAGGGAACTTAAACATTAAGTTAAACCTATTCCAAATACATTTTCAAACTATTCAAATGATGAAAGTTATTGTTGTTTTTTAAGCGTTTATTAGCGAGTGGGAAACTCCAACATGGCCGCCATCTATTCAAATGGGGGTAACCGCTGGAATATTCTTGGCTTCAATTTTACTAAAAGAGATGCGCTATCTAGTTATATAAGATATCTATGGTTGCATGCGACAGTTATAGGCAAAAGTTGTGTAGTGTAAATTGGCCTTGAGCTTGTTTACTGTAGTATAAGAATGGACGTAGTTCTTGTTGAAACGAAATGCGTCATTAAAAGACGCCAACACGTCAGGATTTGATGATGAATCGTTCATCCTACTGTATATTCGCAGCAGGGACGAAACTTGAGGGGGGTATGGGGGGTCTGACACCCCCCACCCCAAAGTACGAATCATCTGGATTGGCAGGGCGAATCATCTGGATTGGCAGGGCAATCAAAGATTTTAAATGATACTAGAATGTAGAGTTATTAAGTAACTTGCAGGGCTTGCAGAGGGAATTGAATAGAATTTATAGACCTACATTTTACAGATATTGGTCCAGAAATAAGGGTTTCACGCATGTTTTAACAGGAATTTGTACGGAAAAACTTTTTTGCCCCTTAATTTAACTGCCTGTTTTTGGAGTTTAGTTGGCAGTCAAAAATCACTTCTGTATGTTTGTTCTAGTTATTCTTTTGCCAGTTAAACGTTTTAAATTCAATGAAAACTACAGATTTAGAAGTGCATGTAAAGTAATGTTTGAAAGAAATTAGCCTGCGGTAAACTTCGGCTGCCGGCTTATATTTTGATATGCCCTTGTATGCCCTCCAGAAGTCACGGTGTTACACCATGGCTTTTGGAGACTGGTGCCTTATTTACTCCAGGTTTAGATCGTAGCGAGCTCCACTCCCTACAGAATTCTTAATAAATTCTTAAATTCAAAGCATATTTAGAGATAGCCCTTCAGACTTTGGTACCTCAGACTTTTGGCAACTAGACTCTGCAGCTTAGTGGTTACAGCGATGTACCAGAATCGCAGCTTCGATTCCTGTTGGAGGGCCTATATTTTTCGCAACTTCTCCGAGTTAAGTCTAAAATATTTTGCTTGAAATAAGGGACTGACCATAAAGTAACTGCTAGGGTGGGCTGGAGTGATTTGGGATGGGCCATGGAAAATCTTTGGGCAGTTTCGATGGGCTGCCAATTTTTTTGGATGTCCACGGTTGGGCCACCAAACTTTTACCCATGCATGTCTACTGTACTTCAAAAAATAAAGATATTAATAATAAAAGTAAACAAAACTATCCAAATTATCAAATGCAAATGGTGCTATTGAAGCCAGTACTTTGTTTATACAACAAAAAGAAGTGGTCGAATATCAGCAAATACAACCAACTGGAGAGCAGCTCATCATCGTAATTGGTGATGAATGTGTTGGTCAAGCTTGGTGGAATTATGTATGTCAATACAGTGCCGGTGTATATTTACAATGTTTATACCTGCAAGTTTTTTTTATTATAAAAATGTATTTTCCCAATTTAGATTGGGTGGGTCATGAAAATGTTTTTGTAAGATTAGATGGGCTTTGAAATTTTTATCTACATCCTAAGATGGGTGACCAAACTTATTGGCAAAATTTTTTATTTACCTCCAGCCCACCCTAGCAGTTACTTTGTGACCAGTCCCTAAGCACTTGGACATAAAATTTGAGATCATTCGTCCAAAGTTAATCCAAGTACACTGACAAAACAAACTTCATCACCCCTCCCCCCAGCCTAATGCCCGCCAAGTGCGACCCCCGAAACTGGGCTCAAGATTGAGTCGGGGGAGTGGGGAGGAGCAACATGATTTTACACACCCTCTGATTCCCAGGACTTCTCGGAACGAGGACAGGACTTAACATCAGGAGTATTACAAATTTAGTATGTAGGGAAAGGTATAGTCTTGACCAGTCATGTTGTTGTTTTTCCTTCATCAGATACAGCGCAATGGATGCTCTGAAGTTTGTCAGTATTGAACGAGATGTGGACGTTGCATTACGATAAGAGAACATTCCGTATCCTTTTAACAGCTTTTTGTACACATACAATTGCACATAGACCAGTTTGTAGTATAAACCGATAGAACTCAAGACTTGCTACAAGCATATAGACAATCTAAAAGACAATCCAAATGTCTTTTGGATTGTCTATGCTACAAGTCGACTCGTATCGTAACGCATTGTCACTTGTGTCGAGCTGTAGCAAGTCTATATATCAAGGAATCTGTACGCATCCTCTCGATATATACACATAAAGCACTTTGTTTTTAGTATAAGCCGTTGATACCAATGATAATAGGTATCGGAGCATTGATATAGAAATTAGTAAATACCACCATAGTTAATACCTTGTGTTCGTATCTTCCACTAGTATTTTTTATCCTCATACGCATAGACGCTGTTTTGTAGTATAAACCATTTTATAGCAGTCACAAAATGGGGACTACAAATTGCCAGATACGTCGTATATTCAATACATGTCATTGGTAATCTTGCACTAGTTTTATATCTATATACTTGCACACATTTATATAGACTTGTTAAACCCCGTTTACACTACGCTTAATTTTTGGTACCGTACCACTTTTTGGTTCTTGGACTACCTAAATAGGTAGTCCAAGAACCAAAAAAGTGGTACGGGTACCAATATTATCCGTGCCGTACCAAAAATTGAGCGTAGTGTAAACGGGGCTCAAGCCTGAGGCGAATAATTGTTTTAGTATTTTTACACAAGCTTTTGTATTTTTTGAGACTGAATTTATTTTAATTTCGCTTATTTCTTTGTCAATAAACTTCCACAAAACGGGTAGCCGCCATTTTGAAAATTTCTGTTTTGTTATATTCACCTGTATAGGTGAATATAACAGCTTACTACGTCAAATTTGACCAATCAACGTGGAGGATTTGTTATGTTCACTTGTGTAAACTACTAATTAACAATTATTCGCCGAAGGCGAGGCCGGTGATTATCGGGGACTGATTCGCCGAGACGAAGTCGAGGTAAATACCCCCCGATAATCTCCGAGTCTGAGGCGAATAATTGTTTTAGTATTTTTTACACAAGTCTTTTGTGTTTTTTGGGACTGAACTTATTTTAATTTCGCTTATTTCTTTATCAGTAACGTCCACAAAACGGCTTGGCCACCATTTTGAAAATTTCGGTTTTGTTATATTCACCTGTAGGTGAATATATTAACAGCTTAATACGTCAAATTTGACCAATCAACTTGTAGGATTTGTTATGTTCACTTGTGCAAAAATACTAAATTGTTTTATTTTCCCATTTGAAAGAACTTTTAAGGCTATATAATTCAGGGGTCTTCAAACCATGGGTCGCGACCCAAAATTGGGTCGCTAGCACACCCTCGAAGGTCGCAAGGCTTGTCTTGGGTCGCATGGGTCGCAATGCTTGTCTAGGGTCGCGAACTTACACTAGTAAACTTTACAAGACGAGAGATCAAGTGATAAGATGCACATATTTACATATGAATATTTCCTTGCGAAATTTGCGATTATAATGTTTTTTCACGATTATTATGAAGCACTCAAGCGCTAGATTGCTAGAATAATATGGTACACGGCAAAAAACGCCGAGCCCGTTGCTCAACAGGACTGAACAATGTTTTGCTGCCCACGTTGTTCACACTTGTCAACAATATTGAACAATGTTGTTGAGCCTGAATCGGGTGTAACAATATTGTTCAATATTGTTGACAGCTATGAACAATGTGGGCAGCAAAACATTGTTCAATCCTGTTTTCATCAGTATTGCATCAACCTGAGCGTTTTTTGCCGTGTAAACAGGTAAACTGGTAAAGCTTTAGATATAATACCTTTTACTTCATGTAACTCAAACATTATGGCTTAGCACCACTCGGCGCGCCTTCGGCGCACGTCGTCTTCCGAAGTAGAGTCGTCGTCATACACTCGGAAGCTTTCGGTGAAAAGCCATAATGTTTTTAATTATCGAAAGTTTTATTGGCAGTGTTCAGGGTCGCGGGTAACCTGAAGTTCAGGCCCTAATTTGAAATAGGGCCTGACACAAAACCTGTCTAGACCGTGGGACGCCCACATGTTATTTTTAGACACAACATGCAATATGATTGACAAGTGTTATAGATTTCGTTACACAAAAAAATTATATTCTCGTGAACATGTCCGCAGAGTGTGCATTTTGCTTTATAATTAAACTTAAAAATCCAAGGTACTTTTATATAAATAAGATTCAGACAAAGATTTAATTAGTCAGTTCTGTGCACGGCTAGACTGCCAAGCTTTCTCAAGGTCTCAACTTGCTGGACGCGGATATTAGGGATATACTTTATTAAAACGGGCTAACAACAGCAACAATGAAATTCTCAATCGTACCACGAAGAAGGCGATGTAGCTCAGAAAACAACGCCGGTAGGACCTGATATTAAAAATAAGACTTTTGCCGGCGAAGCCAGTTGGCAGAACATCTTGGCTGTCAACAACAAGCTTTCGAATACATGACTAGTTTGGCTGTTCTTTCAGCGTCGTGTGTCCAAAATTCGTCCAAGATTTTGATAAAGCCCTTTCAAAATACTGTTTGTTTGATTTATTTTCTGCCATAAAGCATAAAAGAAAAAGAAATTCGAAGAAATCGATAATGGAATTTGTACGTGCGTTTGATCTTTATATTAATTGTCGCCTTGACCGAGCTATTTTTAAAACTGTTGTTTATGTAAACTTGCAACCAATCAAAATCCTTCATGATGCTGATCAACCAATCAGATTTCCCGTCCACCAGGTGGACGGGAATCTCACACTTTAGATAGGTTCTGTGTCAGGCCCTATTCTGTGAGTAGGGCCTGAACTTCAGGTTAGGTCGCGGGACACCTATGAAGCTTGGGTTTGGGTCGCCGAAAAAAAGGGGTGAAGACCCCTGCTATATATAATACTCTTACCGTTTTTTCATAGCTTGCTTATACTTCTACAAATATTTTGATTGAAAGGAATGAAGAAATGTCCGCCATCTTCGAAATATCAAGATCACTCAAAACCTTTAAAACATGTACCAATCAATATTTGGACTGTTCCAAAACTACCGTTAATGAGATAAAAAATGTTATCAAGACGGCGGACATCCGGTTACTTCAATTAAGTGAAAATATTTCAAGAACTGTTAGCAAAATATGAAAAATCGGTAAAAGAAGTTAATATATATAGTTTCAAAAGTTCTTTCAAATAAGAAAATAAAAATTTATATTCTCATTTCCCTTTAAATCGTAATACAAGATGCAGTACGTTATATTTCTAAGTCGAAGACGCCATGTTTAATAAAACGATACACAATCACTCACGCTCATATATAAACAGACCCCGAACACAAATAAACAAATTTGTTTTATTCGCGTTTAAGTTTTAACATAATTTTATATTTATAAATTGTCGCGAGTTAGAAAACCTCAATATATTAAATATTTAAAAAAAATTAAAAACACCTGTACCTTACTCGTCCTTAGTGGCACAACAATGGAGTTTTTGTTTTTTTCTGTGTTGGTGTAGTGTACTCAGGTGAATATGATGTTTGTGATGTTACTCTGAGTGTATATCCACACCGGGCGACCTTGAAAAATATGCCCGACCACGGTGGGAATCGAACCTACGACCTTTGGAATACTAGCAAAAAAAAATCATTACTAGATTACATTGGTATCGAAGGAACTAGATTCTGTTCCGAAATATCACTTACTCGAACTGACCTGACCGCGTAGCTCAGTTGGCAGAGCATTGGGCTAGTATTCCAAAGGTCGTAGGTTCGATTCCCACCGTGGCCGGGCATATTTTTCAAGATCGCCCGGTGTGGATATACACTCAGAGTAACATCACAAACAACAATAGTTGTTTCCAAAGCACCCACACGGGCACAGTGAAAATGAACGTCGACAAAAAATAGTTTCTCACAAGCATCGTGCGAGTCGTCTCATGCAGCACACGTGATTGCAATCACGCGGCACAAGATTGCAATCACACGGCACAAGAGTTTCAATCACACGGCACAAGATTTCAATCACACGGCACAAGAGTTTAAATCACGCCTACAAGGTTCCTCGCACGAAAACAATGATCAATTTTGACTTAAATAGGTTGTAATCTTAGACCAATCTCGGAGGCGGACTACATTTATAAGCTGCACGGTTCATTATCATTAATACTGCATGCGAGCAAAATTTATAACTTAAGATTGTGTCTGCAAAAATGCGTCGTATTTTAAATTTTGTGAATTAAAATTTTTAAAATGTCTGGGTTTTAAAATATGCTT